GCTATAGCTTTGTGGGCAGGGGTTCGACATATGATGCAACAACACTTCAGGTGATCCAAGTTTCTGTCTTTCCTAAATCATTCCTTTCCATCTCTCTCCAAAAGACAAAATAATCATAATAATCATCATCATCATCATCATCATCATCATCATCATCAGTGAGAGCTGTCATGAAAGATAATAATAATGAAAATAATAATTTGATAACTGACAAATTTATAAATTATATATTATTAAATTTTATTATATACTATATATAGTACTTAAAGTCTTCCCATAAAAATATTGATGTTGGTGTAATATTAGGTATAAGAGACTTATGAAAACATTAAGTGATCACAGCTGTGACTGATTGTACGAGACTGAATGCAACATTATATAATGCAAGTTCATGTGTGTGTATATATATATATATATATATAATACTTTAAATATTTAAATATGTAAAAAAGTATTTAAATAATAATAATAATAATAACAATTGCAAATATTATACATTTATAAAAAATTGACAAATTAATTTTGGTTAAAACACTACTAAAATATAAATTCTGATGTGCATAGATATAAAGCTGACTGTTGTTTCATGCATTTCTATAAAGATAAGACAAACACACATTCTTCTGTTTGCTTTCCTCATAGAAAATACTCAGCATACAGTCCATAGTACATTAGATATAAATATGCTATCTAACACGATTTAGCAAGGCACATTTCATTGGGGACTACTCAGATCGAACCTGCATGCTAAGAGCCTGAAGTTACTGCTGAGATTTTATAACCGTCGCTTAAATTTATGGCTCTGAATAATTTTAGCTTTTTTACATTTGCTTGTTGATTAGAACAGGCAGGTTAAATTTCACCAGCCGTCTCTTGCTCTATATGAACCAGTTTGAAGTGTCGCTTTGATTTTATTTGGCTTTGGAAAAAAAAAAAGGCTGTTTCGGCTGAGAGCATCCAGGGATAAGAAGTCAACTGCTTTTCCATCGACACCTCCCCTGCAGGAGTATAGAGTCTGGTGGGCTTGGAGAGCTACTCCTCCTTGTGGCCAACCACTCTTGGTGCGCCAGCACCTCCAGATCTATTGTGAGCTAACCAAGAAACCTGGCAAGCCTTGCTAACTGTTGATGCACTTGAATGCTGCCAAACCTCCACTGGGTGGTAGCAGGTGGGGTTCAGCGCTGGCAAACTGATAACCACATTGACCTGGACACAAACAGCTAGTGATCAATCCCGCAGCCAATCAACCACACAGGAGAGGCGAGATGCATTGAGGCATATCGGAGAATTATTGGATTGGCATCGGGACGAATCAGGTGGTGTGAGAGCTGGAAAACTGAAAATGTTCAAAACTATGATCTGAACTGGATTCATTGGATTGATGAGTTGGTGAGCACAGGTTCGATTGTGATGTACAGTACCTCTGTTACAGCATCGTATCAGGAGGTAGAGGAAGGCTTGGGCTACTCAAACACTGGGGAATGTGTTATATAACTACAGCACCAAACCTAAACGCAGCTTTCATATACTTTCATGTCTGTTCATGCACCAGACAAATATATCATCCTAGTGTCTCATTTGCATGAGAGTGGCTGCCTCTTATGTGCCTCTTCCAGTCCTTTGACATTTCCAAAAAGGCTTTACAAATATATTTTATAATTACAATGGAGTCCAAAAAAAGGTCAATAAAATGCATTAAAATGCATTTCGATTCTTGAACAATGGACAATACTTTAACAGCATTAATTTGAATAAAGTTAATATTTTAACAGATTTAATTTAATAAATTATATAAATTAAATATATAATTATATAATATAAACTAAAAATGAATTCAAACTGAACAGTATTATTATACACTGCCATTCAAGTTGTTGGGGTCAGTATGATTTTTTATTTTTTTTTTTGTAAGAAATTCATAGATTCATGCAGCCAGAACACATTGATTTGAATTGTTAAAATGGTAAAAAAAAATAAATAAAAAAAAATACCTAGGTGAAATAATGCTGTTCATTTGAAAGAATGTTTGAAAGAAGAAGAAAATAAAATACATAAATAAAATACACAAGTATAGTAAGTTTTGTGTTTTGAGTTGCAGTTTTAATAATAAGAAATGCTATTATCAGCGTATTAGAATTATTTCTGAAGGATCCTGTGACACTAAAAACTGGAGTAATGACTGCTGAAAATTCAGATTTGCCATCACAGGAATAAATTACAATTTAAAATATTGTACTGTACTAATTGATCAAATAAATGCAGCCTTGGTAAACAAGAGACTTATTTGAAAAAAAAAATACATATACATTTTTGTTGACGCCAAGCTTCTGAATGGTAGTGTATTTAAAAATTTATATAAAATTATAATTACTATTATTATTATTTTTTTCATTATTGTTGTTCATAATTCTATTTGGTCTCAGACGTTTGGACTCCATTGTAGATTTCATTCCAACTTACTGTTCTGGTCTTACTAACACAATAATTTCTGTTAGTGTTTGAGTGACCAATTAGAAGGCATTCCCTTTCATAAATTGCCAGAACTGATCTCATACTGCTAAAACAGTGCTTTATTATCTATGGCAGCAATATCTGAAGATATGATAGTCCCCAGTAATTATGGTCGTATTTTTGTCTCTGCTCTTGGACGTTCTGTGATCCATTGCATCTCAAATATGGTTTAATGTCAGCCAAATCCATGCTGAAAGCTTTATTTGTTGTTGTTGTTTTTGAATGAGGGGGCCACTCTGTCCCCTTCTCAGAGAAACTAATTGATTGATTAAATTACCATCTAATCATGGTAATTTAGGATCCTGACACATCTCGTTGAACGCATTCCTAGCCAGAGATGCTCAGATAACCACAAGCTCGTTACAATCCTTGATGGATCCCAGCAATAATTGCAAGCTGCTCCGGGTGGCAGCTTCTATGTAACATTGCTGTTGACATTAATGCAATTGTTTTTTGCTAACAAATTGACAATGGTTATTCTTAACATGATATGATGTGATAATTAGTGACAAGTGTATGCGGGTGTGAAAGTGACATGAAGATTGTATAGTCATCAAATGAACATCCAAAAACACATCTCCAAACATAAAGTCTTTCAGAGTTGACTTATCATTTTAAGAAGGACCAGCTAAGGTAAAAGTAATAAAGAAATAGAAATGATACATAATGATACATATGTCACAATTCAATGCATTGCAGTGCATCATAAAATCATAAGTTAGATTGCGACTGAAACTGCATCTAACACGAGACCTGATAGATCCGATTCAATCTCTCGTACCGCACAGAAATGTCTCTGACCGTGCTGAGATAAGTCTGCTGGTTTGTGCTTATTTGGATGACTTGCTTCATCAATTATTGATCTGCAGGACATGATATGAATGCACAAAATAACAATATTGGTAAAAGGATCTAAAATACAGTATCATGACAACAAATATTGCTCTATTTATATGATTGCATCAGCACAGCCCTGTTACTACTAAAACTAATATTTCTCTAAACCATAAAAAATAACAAGTGATGGGCCAGAAGTTCATACTCTTTGTACAAATCCTTCCAGGTTCAAATCCCATGCTAAAACACACACTACATGAATCAAGTAAAATTGCATTTCTGTGCTTGTGGACATATAACAGGAGCAGGGTATAATCTGCTTGTGATCGAGTTAGTGATTTCACTGATTTGATAAACGTGACCCTAGAGCAATGGTGACCCTTTGGCTATGACTGGTATGGCCTCAAAAGGCCGAAAATCTATTTCAGATAACTGATTTAGAATGGAGAATCCCATATTACCGTAATACATATTTCCTATACACTACCGGTTTGAAATCATTTGGAATAAAATATATATTTTTTATTATTTTAAAAGAAGTATCTTATGCTCACCAAGGCTGTGTTTATTTGATCAAAAATACAGTAATACTGTGAAATAGTATTACAATTCAAAATATCTGTTTTCATTTTTGAATGCATTTTAAAATGTAATTTATTCCTGTGATGCAAAGCTGAATTTTCAGCATCATTATTCCAGTCTTCATTGTCACATGATCCTTCAGAAATCATTGTAATATGCTTATTTGGTGCTCAGATATTATCAATGCTCAATTTTGGTTCTTAATAACAGTTCTTATTATTAATATTGAAAAGCTGTGATTTTTTGCTGCTTGATAGTTATATAATTATATATATATATATATATATATATATATTAATATCCTTAATACAGAGTGTATGCAGGTTCCTCAATTCCAACACTGATGTTAAATCAAGTTTAAAAAAACTTTTTTGCTCTCAAAACCATTTGGCCATGAAGTGCCATTTTGGAAATTCCCATCTTACCTCACTATCTTTCAACGTTAAACTGATACTTCCCGCTGGAATTCACCCTCTGCTTCTGTGAACAGTAAACCCCACCTACTTTGATTTGATTGGCCATCTGAATTATTGTGACATCGACGAGCTCTGTTAGACTGCTGAGGCAGACCAGGCTGAAAATGTAACTTTTAAAGCTTTCTGTCATCCTAATAACACGAGCGCTGCGTAATGGAGTGGAGCAGATCAGTGCAAGAATTTCAAATATTGGGGGAGACTTGTCGGTATGCAGTTTTCCCTATTGCTCTCGTGCCAGTAATTATTCCTCCGCGTGCCGATGTTGGCGTGTGTGCCATAGGTTGCTGACCCCTGCAATTCCATATCTCTGTAAGAATGGACATGCTATGAATGTGCAGGCATTATTAATAGAAAAACGGTATTCCACAGCAGCCGTAGAGCATTTTTAGAGGATGCATTAAGCATTTATGTTTCTGTGCTTTCACCGAACGTCCTCTGAAACGCTAAACAGGGGTCAAAACAGGGTCACTGATATCTCTAGAGGACTAGATATTCCACAAAATGTGTATTGTGGGTATTGTACGTTTGAAAAAAACAAAAACTCATTTGAATTTAAGTTTCATCGCTTCACAACTGATTTCTCTTTTTTTTCAGTTGCAGGTGATGTATCTACTACCCGGTTGACTTGAGTCATATCTCCAGTGAGGGGAGTGGTAGAGCACCAGACCCTTGACCTCCTCCTTAATCCCCACTGGCTTCACGCTCCAGCTCGTGAGCCTCAGAGCCCTGGATCTCTTGTCTCTCACTTCCCCTTTTTCCTCTGGACCTTGACGTGGGAACAGCGCCGTAACAGACCGCCCAATGCTGAGGAGGAACTGCCTGCTGCTGTTCCTGTGCTTCCTCTTTGAGCAGAGCTCCTGCGCTCCCTTCCAAAGCAGGCCAGGGCAAGAGTGGCCCCACAGCCAGACGGGGCCATTGGCGGCAGGAAGAAATGGAGGTTCCAGAGGATTCCAGAGGGTCAAGAGGGGTTGGGTGTGGAACCAGTTCTTTGTGCTTGAGGAGTACATGGGCTCGGACCCACAGTATGTTGGAAAAGTAAGAAGTTCTTTTTGATCATGATTGCATTTCAATTGCAACACTGGTTAATAACTGTAACAGCTTTCAGAAGTCATACTCTGCTGAGCCAAAGCCAGTGCCCGATCTGTCGGCCTTTCCTTTAATTCGTTTAATCCAAACCCACTGCTTATATTCACTGGTTTAAATTAATTAACACATTCTGCCCCATGTTAAAGGAACTCGGATTCTCAATTTCTTAACCCAAAAGCACGTAGACAGCAATCTGACACTATATTTTTATTACACTGATGTGTCAGTAGGTGCTTTTTTTACCATGACTTACAAGATAGTTACGTAAGAAAACATGTAGCGACAGCCTACCCATTTGAAATAATTTTACAGTGATTGATAAGCATCAAGGAAAGTTAAATCACTAATTTCAGAAGTAAAATAAACTCAGTTGAGTAAGACCAGGAAGACAGCATCGACAAATTCGGTCTCATTCACTAACCATGCATACAAACATATGTGCATAAAACCTGGGTGCAGCATTTTCATGCAAATAGCAATTAAT